CTTACAAAACTGAACACCAATCAGCCAGCTACAAAAAGGTCTCAGTTAAGCCATTTTGAGAACTTTGCAAGCATGGAGGCAGGGATAGCTAGAGGCAGAGGAAGAGGAAGAGGAAGACAGACAGACAGAGAGAGAGAGAGAGAGAGAGAGGAGGACGTGGTCGAAGAGGCCACGCAAGGACCATTATTTCGGATGACATAAGAGCAACTTTGGTGGACCATGTCATAAACCATGGCCTGACTATGAGGGAAGCTGGGCAGAGAGTCCATCCTAATCTAAGCCGTTTCACAGTTTCATCCATAATAAGGACATTCCGACTGGAAAACAGGTATGTCTTCAACTCTCTACTCTACTCAGACTGTATCTAGAGTATTTACAGTACTGTACCATATCACGTTACTGTATCACATGTATTGTATTCCAGGGTGGCTAATGCTCCTTTTCCAACAAAAGTGGTAGTTTTGTGAAACATACCGTGATAACGTGTTGAGATGTTTCAGTACTGTGTATGGTAAATACAGTAAAGTTCAGTATACACAGTACTGTAAAAAAGAAGCAAACGAGAACAATTTGTGGTTGCATTTTTCTACAGAATGGCTAGAAGACCTACTGGGGGTGGACGCCAACGCCTGTTCACCCAACAGCAGGAACTTGCCATAGTGAACCTAGTCAGAGCAAACAATGCAATCCGTCTCCACCAGCTACAGCAACAAATACTTGCAGATAGGCAAGTATTCAACAACATAAATCGAGTAAGCATTACAACTATCAGACGCATCAACTGAATTTACTGTACTGTAAAATATACTAATGTAATGATTTTGAAATCAGTATTAAATTTTTTTTGGTTGTTGTGAAAACATGTCCTCTGTGGAACTGAATAAAAACATTGAAAACAAAAGACAAAAGTTTTGTTTGTTTTTTTTATATAAAGTAGACTAGTGTGTTGCTGCTGATCTGAAAGTGTATTCATATGATGCAAGTGGGTATCATTTTGTCATCAGTGACATTTTGACAAAATTGTTAGGTTTTGATAGCAGAGTTTCAATTTGACATAGATGTGAATGGTTTATTTCCCAGTGTTGTGTCTTATTTGCTTGTGTGTAGAGTTTTGACACAATGAGCCAAATTTAGCAAAACGTGTAAGCAATAGGCAAAAACTGTAATATGAATTAGGCTAGTACTGCTATTACCATCTTGTGCCCTGCAATAATCATTTACTGAAACTCGCTTTGATGAGATAAAGGAAAAAAAAAAAAATCGGCCAAACATATCGGCCAAAAAAACATCATATATCGGCCATCGGCTGCCCTGATTTCTAAATATCGCCATTGGCCAGAGAAAAACCCATATCGGTTGACCTCTATTGCCGACACTTAAATTGTTTTGCCACTTTTGCACTTTATTTAAAAAAAAAGCCTACTGCACCATCATGCCAAACTGGGTCCCTATAATGCGCAACACATCACATTTCTAGATGCACTTCATGATGCAGTTGGACAGGATGGACCAGAGCAGCCCAGGTTTGTTGTTGTCTGGGATAATGTTAGTTTCCATCGGGCTGCTCTGGTCCAGAACTGGTTCACCAACCATGATCACTTTGAAGTTCTGTACTTGCCCCCTTACTCGCCATCCACATGCCCGTATGCCTCTTCTGCAGGCAATGGAACAGGCCTGCGGAGACATTGAGGTGAGGTCTATCCAGGGATGGATTCGACACACAAGGGGATATTTTCCCCGATGCTTAGCGAGAGAAGACATTGCTTGTGATGTTGATGAGATCCTGTGGCCAGACCCCAACAGACGGCAGGATCCATAAGCCCACTTGCGCACAATTGTGTTTTTCTGTATTTACAGTAGTGTATTTGTTTTATTTTTGATTTAACTGAATTTACTGTACTGTAAAATATACTAATGTAATGATTTTGAAATCAGTATTAAATTTTTTTTGGTTGTTGTGAAAACATGTCCTCTGTGGAACTGAATAAAAACATTGAAAACAAAAGACAAAAGTTTTTTTTTTATTTTTTATATAAAGTAGACTAGTGTGTTGCTGCTGATCTGAAAGTGTATTCATATGATGCAAGTGGGTATCATTTTGTCATCAGTGACATTTTGACAAAATTGTTAGGTTTTGATAGCAGAGTTTCAATTTGACATAGATGTGAATGGTTTATTTCCCAGTGTTGTGTCTTATTTGCTTGTGTGTAGAGTTTTGACACAATGAGCCAAATTTAGCAAAACGTGTAAGCAATAGGCAAAAACTGTAATATGAATTAGGCTAGTACTGCTATTACCATCTTGTGCCCTGCAATAATCATTTACTGAAACTCGCTTTGATGAGATAAAGGGAAAAAAAAAAAAATCGGCCAAACATATCGGCCAAAAAAACATCATATATCGGCCATCGGCTGCCCTGATTTCTAAATATCGCCATTGGCCAGAGAAAAACCCATATCGGTTGACCTCTATTGCCGACACTTAAATTGTTTTGCCACTTTTGCACTTTATTTAAAAAAAATAATGTTACAGTTTTTCTCAAATGCTAAAACACATTTCACAAATGTTTCCTCCATGTTCCCCAGTGTCTAAACATCTGGACATATTTCAAAACAACAGTTCTGTTTCAAAACGCTCTCCATCCACACTAGCATTTTCCAAAAGTTGCTCGTTCACACCGACACATCTGGAAACGCGTAAATAAAATGTCATAAATGTTCACTGAGATGATAAAAGTGAAACCAGACATAATAGAGTTCTCACTCTTCTTCTAGCACAATCATTTTAGTGGCAAATATTGCCGGTCACACTCAATCGCCTTTGGTCTAAAATGCAACGGTCATCATCCTTTGCTGCACTTTGACAAAAAACCAGCATATGCTGGTTAGGTATGTTTTGACGCTGGGATGCTGGTTTAAGATGGTCCTTTGCTGGTTTAAGCTGGTCCTTTGCTGGTTTATGCTGGTCCTTTGCTGGTTTAAGCTGGTCCTTTTGCTGGTTTATGCTGGTCATGTGCTGGCAAAGGACCAGCATAAACCAGCAAAGGACCAGTTTAAACCAGCAAAGGACCAGCTTAAACCAGCATCCCAGCGTCAAAACATACCTAACCAGCACATGCTGGTTTTTTCAACAGGGAATTACGAGCAAATATCCGTCATTTCTGCAGAAGATACAAAGCAAATTTATCTTTAGCAATATTATTAAAGTGAATTGCTCACAAAACAATGCCTTTACAAACATACATATAGGGTACAATATGTCACATGACTAAATTGTTTTCATTTCATTTTCACAGTCCACACTACAATGTGAAAATGACGTTTTCAAATGTATCCACTGAGGCAAAACGTTGAGAAAAAGGTGCGTTTTCAAATTTAGCCAGATTAATGTGGACGTAGCTTTGGGTTTTAAGAGTCTCATGCCATTGGCAGCACTGATGCCATCATAAGCACTTATTAGGATTTTTGCTGTTGTTCGAGATGTTGGAGATTAACAGCTTTTCTGCACAACCTAGCTGAGATTTATCACCATCTTTGGCTAGAACAAAACTTTAAAGAAGATGGCAAAGAGATCAAAGACAATGCTGTATCTGGTTGTTTGATTTTAATCAAATATTCAGGTTGTACAAATGCCCAATATTTACATAGTGTAAGTGCTCTAAGCCGACTCTCAACCTTGTTTTGCTTGGTTTGTATGATCCATCAAGCCCTTGTGGTCACCGCCTGAGCAGGAGAACATTTGAGGTTTTATTGCTCATTTTGAAGATTTGTTTGCCATTATTTTTAGTGTAAATGTTAAAGCCATGTGTCACTAAACCCTCAACTGTGCTTGTTTTAGGAAGCTAAGCTAATATGCGTTGTCCATCAGTTATTAAAAGGGTCATATGATGCGATTTCAAGTTTTCCTTTCTCTTTGGAGTGTTACAAGCTCTTGGTGCATAAAGAAGATCTGTAAAGTTGCAAACACTAAAGTCTCAAAACCAAAGAGATATTCTTTATAAAAGTTAAGAGTCAACCACGCCTACATAAAACGGCTTGTTCTAACACTCCCCCACATGTCTATGTCACTGTGTGGGAAGATTTGCATAACGCCGCCCAAATGTTCACGCAAAGAAAGAAGGCATAACTTTTATTCTCGCTATAGTATTGTTGCTGCCATGTTGTGACGACGCTGTGTGTTTTGTTGTGAAAGTGAAACTACTTTGGTTGGTCTTCCAAAAGAGGACGATATCTGCTTTGTCATGCCTGGAGCTGATCCGTGCTGGTCGCTGAGGAAATACAACAACTTTGCGCTATGGATCAACGGATCGGCTTTCACCGTGGACGAAGCGGAGTCAAGCCCGGGGGCGTCACATGTGGTTGCCGCAAGCCCTCCGGATGCTCCTTCGTCGAATCCGCCGGCCGCGCCGTTCTCAAGCCCTCTGCTCACTCTAGCCCGCCGTGTGTTTCGTTGTGAAAGCGAAACTACTTTGTTTGGTCTTCCAAAAGAGGACACGACTAGAAATCAGTGGCTAAGTTGTATTTACAACACTGTTCCAGAACACTTCAACCCAAATATTCAGATGTGTGCAGCACATTTTATGGAGGACTGTTTCCTGATCCTGGGAGAGTAGACTACAATGCCGGCTGTTCTGACTCAAAGGGTGGGTTGCACCAATAAGGATTAATCTAAAATCTATATTAAATCAAGGTTTATCTAATAACTCTGTTGCACCAAACTTTAAACCTTGTTTAAAAAATAAACAGGTTTACATTTAAACCATCATCTTGATCCTGGATTTAATTTATATTTAAGATAGATTCACTTTAATCATGTTGCTCCATAACTTTAAACTCAGATTTAAATCTCAATTAGGGATTCATTTAAAATTTACAGGTGAGGAGGTTTAAAGAAAATAAAGTGCACCTACAGTTACAATTATGTGGCTGATTGAACAAAGACAGAAACAGCGGGTGTGTCGTCAGGTCTCAGAGAGGTGTTTATTATAAATAAAAATGAAAATTAAAGCGCACTGAGCCAGCAGATTTTGAGGGTTGTTGCAGCCCATAGTAAACTTGTGTCTCGCCTTACGACAAAGAAAAGAAAAGAAGACAGGATCGCGGCCGCACCTCTCGTTTCTCACGCCCGCTCCATGCCTGCTCTTGAACGGCGATCAAACGGACAGGGCGCCACTGTCACGAGCGAAGGTAGTCACTGGTAATCATGCCAGTTATTTTCTCTTATCTCTATTGTTTTGTCATACGCTATACTCCATTAATTTATACTATAAATATATTTCCAATATTATGAAATCCGTATGCACTGCCTCAAATTTTGATTACTTGCTTGATCAGCCGTTTGATCAACAGTCTCTCTACGTACGTTATCGGTTTATAAAGACGGTGGACCTTTTACAAGTTTATTTCCTTTATCGACAAAAGCAACTTATGTTAGAGACAGAGGATAAGGAATATTAGCATTGTTGCTGTTAAATTACATGACGAATCCATCATGGCGCAGAAAATTATTCGTAGATGGAGGTTTTAATCGCAGGTTAGAATTCGAATCCCAGATTTGTTAATCTAAGTTTAAAATTAAGTGGTGCAACACAACTCGATTTAAAATAAAACCCAGATCAACAAATCCTTGATTAGCTCTAATCTTTGCTTATCACAAATGCAGACATAGTTTTATGTTTACGCGCTTGATGCAACGCAACGCGTAAAAAGACAGTATGAGTCATTATAATCCATAATTATGTCCCCACTGGATGCAACGAATGCCTCGTTTATAATGAGTTTTCATGTTTTTGTCTCATCGCACCGGGACACAGCATCACAGTATGGTAGGGGCGTAACATTTCTGTCACATGCTTGAGGTCTTCGGCCAATCACAGCACACCTCGCTTTTCAGACTGATGAGCTTTGTAAAAATCGACGCGTTTCAGAAAGGCGGGGCATAAAGGAGAAACGATAACGTACAGTATGTGGAAAATAATGTGTTTTTTTAACCTTAAACCACATAAACACATTTCATTACACCAAATACACAAAATAATGTTCTTTTTAGCAGCATCATAGGACCCCTTTAACATTGTATTTTCTGGAGGTGTTCTCATTGATACAGTGGTATTTTTCTAAGTGGTTACAAAAGCCTTTAAAAATCAAATAATTTAATTAAAAATAGATTTTTTGTACACTACAACAATTGCTACTTCATCTACAGTAAATGCATATATAGGAGCTTGGGTGTTTTAATTATGTGATTTAATAAAACCTAAACTGTACCTAACAAACATGGCTTAGTGTTTACACTGACTTTGCTACAAATGATGCTACTAAATGATTTTATTGTTTACAGTTATATATATATATATATATATACTGTATTTACAGTACCTTGTGCCACTAAAACACTGGGGTTAATGCAAAAAAATGTTCAAAGTTTTATTGTGTAAGTCCAATGATTCAGAAATATATGAGAACTCTTCTCAAAAGGAACATGATTCGAAACGCGATTTTAGTTACATATTAAAGGAACATGCAAAAGAATAAACAAAACAGTGTAGAAACCATGGCAGATTATTTATACTATAGATGTTTTACTGCATGTTAACATACAATCTGCATACTGCATGAAAGCATTTCATCTGAAGCTACTTTTTTTTTTTGCAAATTCCAGCCAAGAACCACCCTTGCCAAGACTTGTCAACTCAACCATCTCACCCACACAGAAAGACAAGGACCTTGGTATCACGTTAGACAACTGTCCTTTAGTCTGTTTATAAAACGTTTGCAAGACCTTCTCTTACCTGCTCAGATTCTGCGTCAGGCCTCAGTCGGATCCCATCTTCACTCCTGCAACTTACTTCAAGCTGGCCTCCCTTGTAAACTTGATGTTGGTTCTTTTGATTTGGGGGGGTGGCGTGATGATCAAATGCATGAATATGTACATACTGAATATTAATGAATATTGAGATTGAATTGTTTTTACTATATCACATTTAGAAAAATGCTTTGAAATATGAGCGAGAACCCCTTGTGGTTATTCTAATTTGTGTAAACAAATAAGTCTTATAAAAAGCATTTATGTTATGTTCACTCTCCATTCTGCGATTCAAACCTCCACACATAAAAAAATTGGCAAAGGAAAAAAATCTGCTAAATATTTACTTGCAGTCCATGTTATTGAGGACCTGATGGCTTCTATCAGTCTTCCAAGAACGCAAGTAAGACTGTTGGTGTTATAATATTTCATTTTAATGTGTATTCGTCTAAAATTACTTCTCTTTTTTTTAATACACATTGTTCTAGTTTTAAAAGATTAATAACTATAATACTTTTTTGTTGTTTGCTTTAATTTCCTCTATCATAATTTTTTTAACATTTTGAAATTCAAAATTTTAATTTCATATAGTTTAATATCTTGAAGAATCTTGGTAATGAGAGTTTATAGTTTTTGCTGTTTTTAATTGGTGAGGTTGTATTTTGTGATTATTTGCTATATATTGCAATTGGAGGTAACATTTTCTTTTAAGGTGTCCTTGTTACACATTGCATGTAGGTGTCCTTGTTACACGCTGCATGTACTTACTATTATAATAACAATTAATTATACATAATCACATGCAAGTAAACCTAACCATATAGTAGTTCATTAATATTACGCAGTACTTAAGTGTATAATTAAACCGTAACAAGGACACCTTAAAATAAAGTGTAACCCAATTGTATATTCAACAGGTTATTACATGGTATGCCGCTCTCACTTGGCTCCAGTTGATCACCAACTGCTTCATTATACACTGTAAGATTCATTTCCATTCTATTCATTTTTTCTTAATCTATTTTTAGTGATATTTCTAGTGATTTTACAGCAAGAACATTTGAGGTGATTTGATACACATAAAACATGAATTAACAAACAAACTCCATTGTCCACTATTACATGAAATGCAAAATGCTTTATTCAGGTTTTGCTCTTTCAGCTCTCTTGATAGGATCCGTAAAGCCATTAAACTGTTCAGAACCAACAACAAAATCGCTCCTTAATGCCATGAAAGAGGAAGTCATCCTCTACAGCGATGCAAGGCCAGTTATAAGTCTGAGTACTCCCACCAATGTCACCGTGGACTTGACTCTCTATGGAATCTTAGGAGTGGTAAGCAACTTTGACTTAACATTTACAAAATCATGACATTTTTATAGTGCTAATCCCACTTAATATTATAGAAATGGTTACAGATTGCTATATTTTCCCTTTCAGAATGAAAAATCACAGGTGTTGGAAACATATCTGTGGGTGAGGATGGTAAGAGTCAACAAATACACTGTTTAGACAAGGGGTGTGTGATACTGACTAAAAAAATCCCAATATTTATTGGAATTTTTCCAATAATGATAATTAAACAATATTGTTTTACAAAATATTGCTGAGTGTGTTTTTGTGCTGGTACCTTGGCTGGTTTAGGTCTGTCATGGTTGATAAATAAATAAGACACTAAAACAACCAGTAGGTGGCAGCAAGTCCCTGTCTTAATGACGGATTCATTGAATCATTCATTCAAACGATTTATTCAAAACGGCTGATTCACATGAAATGATGTAAGTGATCAGTGGTGGGTAGATAATTTACTAATTATAGTCATTACAAAGTACATGAAAAAATTGTAGTTAGTAATATAATCTAGATTACACATGTTAGGTAATTTAGTCTGACTACTTTTTGATTACTTTTAGATTACTTTTGACCTAACTTGTTTATCACATTGACTTGATTGGAATTATTAGCAGTGTTTCCACTGTCGGGCCAAAAGTGGGCGTGCTAGTGCGTGCCAGGGCCAGTCGCGTTTCCACTGTCACTTCCGGGGCTTGATCGTGCCTCGTCGGGGCTTCCTTGGGGCCAACAGCCCAGATTTTTTGGCTCGACGAAAACCCTGGGTCAAAGCAAGCCAGCTGGGGCTAGAGGAGTGGTTATGAACAAAGGCAGAGTTTCTCCGCGTCTGGAGAGCGTCAGCAGCATGCATCATTTTATAAAGTTAACAGATAACACCAGCATTAAAGACTTTTAAAATTATTTTAGCTCAAAACTCACTTTTCGACAGCAGCGAGTTTTTAAAATAACTTCCGTTTGAGATCTGATGTGGATTATGATCACCATACAAGGCAGAAATATTTATAAGCGATGCAAAAGACTATGCACGCTAGCCATACCCATAGTAAACATGGTAAATACGACCGCTTGAAGAAATCAGACCAATCATATAGGATATTACAATCGTGTATTTAGTAACATATTTTATCTGTCAGTAAGTCTCGTCTCTGACTGTCTATACCTGACTGTCTGATGTTCATATTTAGCTCCCTGTATGTCATAAAATAATCATAGTTTTTGTTAGGGAGCTCCCTCTGCTACTCAGGTCGTATTTTTGATGGAAAAATTATAGAAATAATAATTCTTTCTAAATGTGATGTATACTGTGACTACAAATAAACCGAAACAGATGTGACTGAATAAATGTGTCCACTTTCTTTGCTGAAATAACGATAAATACCACTTTATTTCTGTGTGGCTAATTTTCAGTCCTGAAAAATTATTTCATTTTGATCAATGTATCACTGTGTAAAACACTGAAGCTTTGAAAAACTGCAAACAAGCGCCGCTTTTATTCTGTTCAATTTGTGATCTCGCTAGCTCCAGTGATTTATTTCTGATTAGTTTTCTGTTAACTGAAATAATAGCTGCATGAAGTTGTCCCAAAAAGGTCTGTAAAGGCGGGTTTTAGTAAAGTGCAGCAGAGCTTCTGGCCCGATGGTGGAAACGCAGTGTGATTTTGGGCTTGGTGCAACAGGTCTGGGGCTATTCGCCCCGCCCCGCCCCGCCCATTGAAAGCACTGCCTTGCACTGGCCCGACAGTGGAAAAAGCGGCTATTGTACCATATTGATTAAATTGTGTGAAATATGAATAAAATTTAAATATCTAATCCATAAAACGTAACTTTAATCTGATTATAAACATTTAAAAACATAATATAATATAATTAGAAGTACTCAATTTTTGGTGTCTGATTACATAATCCAGATTACATGTAATCAGTTACTACCCAGCACAGCAAGCGATTTATGAATACATCACTAAGTGCTAATTTGCATTAGTGAAACTAACAAAACTCATGGAATATTAACTTCTTGTTTGTTGAACTGTTGTATAAAATCAACATAGCATTCGTGACTGCGCTCCTGCGCAAATAGTTAGGAAAACGGCACTGATGCTTGTGTGAGATTACTTAAAGGGGGGGTACAATGTTGTTTCATGCATTCAGAGTTGTTTACACTATTAAAGATTTGGATTCTCATGCTAAGCATGGACAAAGTTTCAAAAAACAATTTGGACGTATGACGGAGTATTTCTGTGCCAAAAATCTTACTTCCGGGTTCGGCACAGCAAGCGATTTATGAATACATCACTAAGTGCTAATTTGCATTAGTGAAACTAACAAAACTCATGGAATATTAACTTCTTGTTTGTTGAACTGTTGTATAAAATCAACATAGCATTTGTGACTGCGCTCCTGCGCAAATAGTTAGGAAAACGGCACTGATGCTTGTGTGAGATTACTTAAAGGGGGGGTACAATGTTGTTTCATGCATTCAGAGTTGTTTACACTATTAAAGATTTGGATTCTCATGCTAAGCATGGACAAAGTTTCAAAAAACAATTTGGACGTATGACGGAGTATTTCTGTGCCAAAAATCTTACTTCCGGGTTCGTACAAGTTTCGGAGAGTTTTTTTCGATCATGGCTCTTCATGACGTAAACGAGGGTGGAACTCCTTATATGGGCATTTCTCCCAGAAGAACGCACCCGCGCACGCATCGACCAGAGCAAGAGCGAGATTGCGCCCATCAACGCGCTTCACGGGACTCGCTCGGGAAGAATCTCTCCAAAGAAGTGTGTTTTTGGTCGTTAGGGAAAGATAACTTTGTTCAGCTTCCCAAAGAACCCAGCGTTACGGAAACAGTGGATGCAGTTTGTTTTTCCGGGGCAGCAACAGAGTTTCACAAGTGTGTTTGTTGACAAAAGTTTTATAAACAAGGCCCAGCTCAACGCTGGATTTGCACATCGTTTGATACTGAAAGATAGAGCAGTCCGAGCTATAAAAGATCGCGGTCATGATTCAGAACTGCAGCTGGTAAGTGAAACTGCATCAAATGTCTGTGTTTTGTTGGCAATCGGAGCTCAAGTGCTCGTCACTCTTTAGCTCCGCCCACGGCGTGCCTCCAGGAGCTCGGCTGTTTCCGGAGAGAATCGTAAAGCTGTATCTTTCTTTTATAAATATGATCAAACTAAAGACTTTTTGGAGATATGAAGGATGCAGTACTACTCTATAGGTACTCAAGATTAACATGAGATTGGGTGAAATTGTGTGTGTTATGTCCCCTTTAACTATTTCACATCGTACAAATATTAAAAACAAAATCCCATTCACGGATGTTTTTTGCTTTCATACCTGCATTCTAATAGGCTTCATCACACAGTAAATGCTTTTGGATTGTCAAGACGAGTTTGTCTTTGTTTTTTGCAAAGTGAGTGACATACTCGACAATGCCAGTTCGCAACAACAATTACGATATTATCGCAGATGCAGGGACGGATTTACCTCGTCATGACATAAATACCTCATTGTGGCAAAATAAATGTATGTTCCTGCTATTTATTAATAAATGTATATGTGCATTTGTGAGAGAGAGAGTGGGAGGAGGAAAATGTGCTTTCTGTAAATAAAAAGGTGGAAAACATGTAAATAGTTTGTCATTTTTCCCCCATTGTTTGTTGTATTTATTTGGTTATTGTTTTTTGGGGTTTTGGTTCTTTTGCTGCTGTAGGTAGCCCATAGAGTAACAAAAATATTATATATCCCTTCATTGTACTTGGGCCCTCCCTGGACGAGCGAGCATAGGCACATGCCTAGAAGCCTATGCGTAAATGCGGCCCTGCGCAGATGATAAATACCACACACCCATAGTTTAGTAGGTATTAATAGTCGTCTCGTATGATTCAATAACATTTTACGGAGCTAAATACATCCAGGCACTAGAGCAATAGCACTAGTTGAATAATTATTTTTTGTAGAGATGGCAGATAGAAGGTTTGAGCTGGGATCCTGCTGAGTGTGGAACGAAAAAGATCTCACTACCAAGACAAAAGATATGGATTCCAGACATTGTCATCAATGAATTGTAAGTTGCAAATATTGAATGTAACAGCTATGACTACTAGATAGGGGGAAAAGTGTGTTTATGCACTTGCAATGTACATCCATAAACTTTAACCTGCTACCCACCATCATTTTACAGCATGGATGAAAACCGAGCACCAGAAACATACTACGTCTATGTGACCAACACTGGCCTGGTGCTTGACGGACAGCCGTTTCACGTGATCAGCTCCTGCAGACTGGACATCTATACCTTTCCATTTGATTTTCAAAACTGTACATACACGTTCAACTCTTATAAACACTCTCGTGAGTAAGCATAACTGAGAAAAGTATGTTCCTGTTTGACTACTTGTGATTATATTGTACCTATTGGTCTCTTTTTCTAGGTGATGATATTCAGTTGTTCTTCTTTCTGCCAGTGGAGCAGATATTCAAAAATTCTCTTGAAGCGATGACAACAAAAGGAGAGTGGGAGCTGATAGACATGAGAGCAGAAAAACCTGTACAGCTCTTTCTGGAAGGGGGATGGGATAACCTCATTGTTTATGTTGGTGCCATTTTAGATTTGGGAGGGAATTCACTAAGAATTGCAACCAATAGTCATGATTGGTGACGTGATTTTACCAAGTACAACATGTTGAACAACATTCCAATCAACCAATCAGAATTGAGGGATAACTTTTCGGGAAATATCTGTTTTAGGCTTACAATCAGGATTAGGTGCTTCTACACCCTTGTTAATCAGCTATCATTTCCCAATGATTTTAGGAATAAATTATGGGTAGGGTTAGGTTAAGGGGTAGGGATTGGGTTTAGTCTATATTTTTGGACAGTGATGTCGATCTAGTATCAACAAAAGATGTTGATCCAGGAACATGATCAGGTGCATGTTACTGGGACTGTGCAGCACTGCTGCACCACTATGATCCAGACATCAACAAAAAAGCTGAAAGTGTGCTTGACTACACCAGGGGTGTCTAATCTTGCTCCTGGAGGACCAATAGCCTGCAGAGTTTAGCTCCAAACAGCTCCAACACACTTACCTGGAAGTTTATAGTGAATCTGAAGACCCTTGCTGTGCCTGAAATCAACCCTTTACCCTTAAATAGGTCACTTTTTAAGGGGACAGCCATTATTAGTGGTGTCCAAAACCATAGTGGACATTACCGAGTGTATTCATTCAATCACATAATGCACTGTGATAGTGAGTGTACAACCGATGTATACTTGAGAATACCCGTAATGCACTGTGAGGGATGTGCAGAATGAATTCCTGCATCTCGCCAGAAGTTGGTGCCTACAGCTGAATCGTCCATCCATCCATTTTCCAAACCACTTGTCCAATGTGGGTAGAACTTAATGTCATACAGGTATAGATTTCTTTTAAATTGATTGGTAAATAGTTTAATTAAGGTTTATACATCCTAGTTTCAATGACAAAGTTCAAGATAAATCTTTTCACTTTTGCTACTGGAACTGCCAGTTCCTTCCAGAACACCTGAAGTCTGAATTCGCTCAATCGTTTTCATTCACTCCTTCAACTGAACTATATTAGTGGACTAATGTAGGGAATAGTAAATGAGAGTATAGTGAGCGATTTGAACAAAGTACTTGATTCGCTTATTTCAGGTGCGTTTAATTAGGGTTGGCCCTAAAGTCTGCTGGGACAGTTGGCCTCCAGGAACAGGTTTGGACACCCCTGGACTACAGTATGTGCCTGGTTATGACCAGTTATAGGGCTTTTCCTCATCACTTGGCCATAATTTTTGCTTATGTTTGCTTCCTGCTTTCTGTGTGCAGTTTTAGTGCAACATTAATGCCTCTAGCAAGAAGAACTGAGTTTTCTGAATAGGTGATCTAACTCTTACGATTTGGTGAAATCCTTCGGAGGTTCTCCTCCATCTGGAGTGCCCATGCTCCTTTGGAGATTTCTGGGCTGTATCTAGTTGGCACAATCTGTACTGAGTCCAAATCCACCTAATGGATTACAGCTCAATGGAGTGTTGAAGGATTGACGTATTTTTGTAGACCTGCCTGGTTCCAACACTCACAGTTGGGTCTTTACTTTTAAAGAATTAGCAAAAGAAGAGGTTGGAAAACGTCAATAAAACAACAGAGAACAAAGCTTAAAACAAGTAGGAAATACCACACACAAACGTTGTGCAACTTCTTAGTGAATTCAAACCTTTGTGGTATCTTTTTACTGTGAAATGTATACTTGATTAACAATAATGTCCTTACTCGTTGTGGACTAGATTGTCCTGAGACGTCGAGCTGCGCTCTATGTGGTGAACCTCCTGATTCCCAGCAGCTTCCTGCTTTCTTTGGATCTCTTCAGCTTCCTGCTGCCACCTCAAAGTGTGGACCGTGCTTCCTTCAAAATGACCCTCATCTTGGGTTACACCGTCTTCCTGCTGCTAATGAACGACCTGCTGCCCGTCACAGGAAACAACTTACCACTCATAAGTATGTTGTCAAACCTTCTTATACACTCATTTTGCATATTTTTGTCTTTACTCTGCTAAAATGTGGCCCCAGATGGTCACCAGCATAAGTTGATGGTCTCCAGAATTGGATGCTGGTGCAACTTACACAGCAATACATTCTTGGCAAACCAAAGTTGGCATGGCATAGGGCTGGTATATGTCAAAACTCAGGGGTGTGCAATCCTACTCCTGGAGAGCCAGTACCCTGCAGGGTTTCGCTCCAACCAGCTCCAATACACTTGCCAAGAAGTTTCTAGTGAGTCTGAAGACCCCAATTACTTTGGCTCAAGTGTGTTTAATTAGGGTTGGAGCAAGTGTGCCGCACACATCCTGAAATGTGAAGCCAAAACATTCCAGTTGCCATCTGATGGCTGGCTGCAGTTTAGGTTATAAACCCTACACTCTATGTAAACAAATGGGACGTGAGCCAATCAGCATCCTAGCTTTCTCAAGGTATTACAGACCTCTTTGAGTTGACCTGGGGTGTATTCCTGAAAGCACGGTTAACTTACCGTCAGCTAAACCCTGAACTTTCGGTTGATTAACCCCAAACCTTGCTTACTCAAGGTATGTGGTTCCAAAAACGCATCCGGGAGTAAGTTCATTCAACTCAGAGTATGTTCCTGGTTAAGACTCAAGACATTCTCAACAGAGCGACGAATCGATGAGTCACTATGGAAACAGACACTAAGAAAAAGCGTACCATGCTGTTTCTTTCTTCTTCTTTTGTTCAATGGACATTTACATGCTTAGTGCATATCGCCACCTAATTGATGGTTGTGCAATCATTTACATTTTTTTTTCCTTTTAATCTTTAATCCTTGAGAATATGAATTAGTTTGTTTGATGCTAATTATATATTAAGTCATATCAGATATGTATTATGATTTAGAATTTAGACATGTCGATCCATGTGTGAGATTATAATATAAAATGTAATAAATAAATATATATAATATAATAAATTAAACATACACGTGCGCTGAAGTGAACTAACCCTGGAACATAACCTGCCCCGGAGGTTACTATGGTTACTTACCCTGAAAGTTACCTCCGATTTTGGAACCGAAACCTGAGGTTATCCGCTCGCTTATCCTCAAACATACCCGGGTATGTCATACGCATTTATGTGACATAAATAAGGTAATATATTATTCTAATATGGTTATTATATTTATTTTATTGGCATATATAACAGTTATCTGTATAAATTATAAAACACTATGACAAGGTAATGTTTAATTTATTATATTATATATTTATTTATTACATTTTATATTATCATCTCACACATGGATCGACATGTCTAAATTCTAAATCAAAATACATATCTGATATGACTTAATATATAATTAGCATCAAACAAACAATATAATTCATAATCTCAAGGATTAAAGATTAAATGGAAGAAACAAATAAAAATGATTGCACAACCATCAATTAGGTGGCGATATGCACTAAGCATGTAAACGTCCATTGAACAAAAGAAGAAGAAAGAAACAGCATGGCACGCTTTTTCTTAGGGTCTGTTTCCATAGCGACTCGTCGATTTGTCGCTCTGTTGAGAATGTCTTGAGTCTTAACCAGGAACATACTCTGAGTTGAATGAACTTACTCCTGGATGCGTTTTTGGAACCACATACCTTGAGTAAGCAAGGTTTGTGGTTAATTAACCGAAAGTTCAGGGTTTAGCTGACGGTAAGTTAACCGTGCTTTCTGGAATACACCCCTGTTCCTGGAGATCTACCTTCCTGTAAAGTTCTGCTCCAACCCTGATCAAACACAGCTGAACCAGCTAATTAAGATTTTCAGAAGCACTTGATAATTACAGACAGGTGTGTTCAGTCAGGGTTGAAATTGAACTCTGCAGGTAGGTACTGTAGACCTCCGGGAACAAGATTGGGCACCCCAATCTGCATTCTGGCATAAACCAGCCTGGGGTGTGTTTCCCAAAAGCAACTATGGTCGCAAGTTCCGCTGAGAGTTCAATGGAACTAATGACCATAGTTCGCTAACGATGGTTTTGCAGACCAGGGTTGCATTTCTCAAAAGCATTGTAGACCATCAATGGTATCAATGGTCTCTACAGTGGTTTACAATACTTTTTGGAAAAGAAGCCAAGGACTCTAACCTGATCTTTTCAGCAGGGTAGGTGATCCTTCTTTACCTCCAATCTTATCTTTCTCTCTCTCTCGATCTAGATGTGTTTTTCTCACTCTGTTTGGCCTTGATGGTAGCAAGTCTCCTTGAGACCATCCTCATCACCAATATCGTGTGCGGTTCCCATGACTTGCCTCCCTTACCCAAGTGGCTCAGGATTCTGGTCCTGAAATATCTTGCTCGACTTGCTTGTATGAAGAAATCATGTGATAAAAACTTTGAAGGTAAGACTCTCTTTTTGGAAGCCAATATATTTTTGTACATGTTCACATTATTGGTGCGCACCTAATGTCAGAATTCATATCATTGGTGTAAAATATGTTTTCCAATGGTGGTGCTGTTTCTTGCCACAGCAAACACATCTGAGAGCACTTTCTACAAAAACACCATAACTGATAACGCCATGACTGATATTCCAAAGAAAGAACTTGTTGGTGCAAGTTCAGTGAGAGTCTGGGAACAATGCCTTGATGAAATGAAGAAGATGAGTACGGATGTACTGGCCATCCGTCACCAAGTTGAAGAGCACTTCAGTCATGACCGCAGAACCGATGACTGGTTCATGTTTGGTCAGGTCATTGACCGTGTGCTCTTTATAATGTATAGCATCTTTATCGTTGTGAGTTTAAGCACAATTATGGTTCTGTGGCTGTACTCCTACAGTCTAGACAAAAGGTCGTAATTTATTCTTGCCTGCTCTGTAAACTGATGACCGCAAAACTCTGATGGCATGATTTATTTCTGATGTAATGCAAGGGATGTTAAACTAAATACTCTCGCTTTGTACTCTTTATAGGGGCTTTAAAGGGGTAGTTCACCAAAAATGAGATTTGTCATTTACTCGCCCTCAAGTTGTTTCAAACACAAAAGAAGATATTTTGAAGAATGTTGGTAACCAAACAGTTGACAGTAGCCATTAACTTTATGGCAAAAAAACTCTACTGGCAACTGTTAGTTTTTGAACAACTTGAGGGAGAGGACATTATGACTTTTTTTTTTTTTTGGGTGAGTCAACCCTTTAAGTGTCCCAATACATTAGCTGTTCAAGCTCTGGAACATTTTATATATATATATATATATATATTTTCAAACTTAGTAAATTATGCAGAATCTGACATTCTGTTGTATCTGTATCACCAAGACATGTTTTGTTAGCTTTGGTAGCATAAATGGCAAATGAGTTTTTTTTTTTCACTGTCATTTTCAAATATTACTTAAATATCAAAAACTTTGCTCCTGGTTTTGTGTGTTTGTTTGTTTTTTTTCTTAAGATTTATTGATTGATTTTTTTCAAACTTAGTCAATTATGCAGAATCTGACATTCTGTTGTATCTGCATCACCAAGACATGTTTTGTTAGCTTTGGTAGCATAAATAGCAAATGAGTTTTTTTTTTTCACTGTCATTTTCAAATATTACTTAAATATCAAAAACTTTGCTCCTGGTTTTGTGTGTTTGTTTGTTTTTTTTCTTAAGATTTATTGATTGAGTTATGGTTTAATGTTAAATATATGTATTGAAATAAGCATAGGGTAACGAATTTCTAAATTAATAATTATAGTTAATGAAAGTTATTAATTTGATGCATGACTATAAAAGAAGCCCCAAGAAAATGCCCTTTAAAAAAAACCGCAATATGTTAAGTAACATACAAACAAGGCCAGTCTCTGGATTTCTAGATGGTATCACGAAAATTTAAAACTACCCATAGTATATAAAACAACTGGAAATATATTCAAGATGATTTAATGTTAAAATAGATTTAATAATGTCTTGAGAAGCCATAATAGCGCAAGCGTGAACGGTGTTCTTTCCTCTAATTAAATGTGTGGAACTGAACATGTTTTTTATCATCTAATGGAAAATGGGTACGTACATCACTAATGAGTTCAACCAAACGGATCCAAAGCTATTAAAACAACATAGGTCAGTGGTTACCGAAGGTGTTAAACAACAGCGCACATGATGGTGCCAGTAAAGTCATCACATTTTACCTGTGGAAGTAAATGGTGAGCAGTTTTAAACAAAAGGACATCTCATCCACACGGAGCATTATGGGAGATCTTTGGCGTTTACTTTTGGCATTTTTCGTGCTACTTAAAGGTAATGAATTAAACATATGTAGATCACAGACTTCACATTTTGGTCAGTTACAATTTTGTCTTTGTTAAAAACAACTATGCAGTATCTTCAATGATTCAGAATGACCCTTTATACCAAATCAATTGTCTTTTTGTAACCGGGTGTTTTTAGTTTTTTTGTGCCAACCATTGGCATAACATTAACACGCTTATCTGCATCATAGTTGTTTGACACATCATAATTAATGTGATGAATTTCACTTTCATCACATTAAAGGTTTTTAATTACAGCAGCAATTGAAAGGTGATTTCATTACGTGTTGCTAATTTCTAAAATGGTCAAACTGATCCAATGTTACAGGATCGGCTTTAGAGTTATGTATTGTTTCTGTAATATATATGGTATACATGTATTTCTGCTTTATGTACACTTATAAGATTAGATGATGTGCAATTGAAAGAGAATGCTTTTAATTCACTGTCAAAGTTAAACATGCTAGAAATATGATCAAACAATATACACTTATATTTAAACAAAATGTTGGAATACTTTTTGTTTATAATATTAAACACTTCTACATTTTTATAATTTTATTAAAGACACCATAGAATTTTTTTTTTTTTTTTTTGTAAAATCTCTAAATTTAATGTGTCCAAACCATTTTTGGGGTGACTATATACAAAAGTACTGTGTAGCGCAGAATTTATTTGCTGACTGCAACAAAATAATGCTAGTAAATGGACATCAAATGAAGTCGCTAAGCTGGTTTCCCTGGTTTATGGTCATGTTAAGTGTCATGTCTGGCAAAAATGCTTCGCTGTGAAGAAGGACAAAGTGGACCCACGTATGACTCTCTACAGGAAGTCATTGACAAGAAGTCCTTCAGACCTTCTGTCAACCTCAGCAGCCCCACCATAACCAACATCTCCTTCACTCTCTACGCTATCTTGGGAGTGGTGAGTCAGTGCAGGACCAGCTGTATGTCTCTGGTTGTGTAAATTGTACTTGTGTCTGAACATTTGATGCTTGTTCTGTTTTACAGAATGAAAAAGCACAAATTCTTACCACATTCCTCTGGCTCAGGCTGGTAGGTTTGGTGCATATAAACACTAAGAGATGTTTGAATAATCACCTGAATATGTCACAATCCTGTTCTCCAAACATGTTTTGTTATAGTACTGGTTCCATGAGTTCCTCATCTGGGATCCAGAAGCCTGTGACGGCATTACGAAGATCTCACTTCCTGTCAAAGATCTCTGGACTCCTGACATTATCGTTTATGAGTTGTGAGTGCTCTCTTTGGGTCATTTTTGGGGGAAAATTAATGGTATGGTTCACCAACTGGAACTTTTTTTTCCAGCGGATGAACCATAAAAACACTGACAGCCAATCAGAATCCACCCGAGTTTAAAGCGTTAGATGGCAAAACTGCAGCTCGCAATAAACAACGTTATCGTTCGTATAGTTTGGACGCTAATAGAGTGTTGCCGTCATAGATGTACAAACACAGATGCCTCATTGGCATAGCTAACTCACTGGAACGTCAAAGCCAGCTGCAAATGTACTTATATGAACAGTGTTGGGGAAAGTTACTTTTAAAAGTAATGCATTACAATATTGCGTTACTCCCTAAAAAAGTAACTAATTACGTTACTTAGTTACTTTTTATGGAAAGAAATGCGTTATATTACTTTTGCGTTACTTTTTGAATATAAGCAGGGCTTGATTGTTTTTAATATAAGAAGTTCTATTTATAACAAATATAAAAGCCCTTTCACACCAAAAAGTGTAATGAATAAACCTCAGGCTGAAGCAAAAGTAAATTCACGTCTGTACAGTAGAACACAGGAGAAGAAACACTCTTCAGCAATAAAAAAACAAAGCACAATTGTTAGTTTATCAAAAGTCATTTTTGCTTAGTACGGTTGAACTGGATCATCAAAGGTCAGCAGCAAAGACATTGGTTATAAAATGGGATTAGATACATTTGTGTTATTTAACATTTAATTATTGCAGGTTTGCGTCATATTCTGAGTTTGCATTTCACTGTTTTAATTCATTTTGATGAATACTAAATCTGTTTTTTGTGAGTGGGATGAATTAATGCACATTCACATTTAGTCTAGAACTACAGTAACATCATGTTCACACAGCGCCTCTGTACTCCCGATTTCTCCCAGTATGGGGACAGGAGAGCTGTCAGTCAACTGGCATTACATTTTTGAAAAAGTAACTCGAATATTTTCTTGTAAATTAAAAAAGTAATGCGTTACTTTACTAGTTACTTGAAAAAAGTAATCTGATTACGTAACTCGCATTACTTGTAATGAGTTACCCCCAACACTTATACGAATGTATGGATATTTATATCTGCAATCAGTGCTAAGTAGCAACTGATTACATGTAATCTGGATTATGTAATCAGATTCCAAAAATTAGGTACTTAGAAAAATTTTGTAATTATTGATTACTTAATGATACATAATCAGAATAGTTGCGTTTGACCACTGCGTTTACAAAATATCATTTCAGTTTTAAGTGTTTTCTCAACATGTAAACATTGCATCAACTACTGATGAACAGGTTAATATTTATTTGAATTAGCAGTCACTTTTGTCTTTAAATCGCATTAAAATGCACAAATTCATCTTATTTCTTATTTACACGTAATGCAGGGATTTTTTTTTTGTCAGCCAAACTTTTCACCGAATATATTTACTTGAAGTACTCAGATTGTTAAGCTAATAAGTTAATAATTAAGTAACGCATTTGCATGTTCACATTTCTCTGACATTGATTAATGGTCACATGACATGCAGTTAAACAAATAAAATATATTACTGTTTTTAGTAAGTGTTCCATTTTGATTGTTATTTGAAAATTAGTTATTTTAATTGTAATTTTTTTATGATTTATTTCATTGTTGGCCTTTCATTAAACTTACAAACACAAGTTTGGGAAACCTTTACATAATGTAAAGTTTAATGCACTTCATGATATTTCTCATATCTTTAATAATATATTTCTAACTCTTTGCATTTTTATGTCAATATGGTACAAGATTATCCTATTTAAATCAATGTGATGAAAATGTTAGGTCAAAAGTAATCTAAAAGCAACCAGAAAGTAGTCTGAAAGTAATCCTAAATTGTGTAATGTAATCTAAGTCTCATATTTAGGCATATATCATATGATAAACGATATCACACGAGCAGTGAGAACAGTCACACGAGTGCTGTTTGTCCCGAAGAGTGCAAATGTGATTTTATACAGTGAATAAGAAGTTAATATTGTGTTATAATTTAAACACAATATTGCCTGTTTTTGCTCAGTTTTGCCAAAAAAAATATTACCTAAGCCACAGCAGAACTGAGGTGTATTCCAGAAAGCACGGTTAACTTACCGTCAGCTAAACCCTGAACTTTCGGTTGATTAACCCCAAACCTTGCTTACTCAAGGTATGTGGTTCCAAAAACGCATCCGGGAGTAAGTTCATTCAACTCAGAGTATGTTCCTGGTTAAGACTCAAGACATTCTCAACAGAGCGACGAATCGATGAGTCACTATGGAAACAGACACTAAGAAAAAGCGTGCCATGCTGTTTCTTTCGTCTTCTTTTGTTCAATGGTCGTTTACATGCTTAGTGCATATCGTCACCTAATTGATGGTTGTGCAATCATTTAAAAAAATTTTTTCCTTTTAATCTTTAATCCTTGAGAATATGAATTATATTGTTTGCTGGATGCTAATTATATATTAAGTCATATCAGATATGTATTTTGATTTAGAATTTAGACATGTCGATCCATGTGTGAGATTATAATATAAAATGTAATAAATAAATATATATAATATAATAAATTAAACATTACCTTGTCATAGTGTTTTATAATTTATACAGATAACTGTTATATATGCCAATAAAATAAATAATAACCATATTAGAATAATATATTACCTTATTTATTACGTATATTAGCGCTTCATCATTAACATATCATACACACACATATATATATATATATGTATAATAGGCTATATTACATATTGTAATATTATATAATGTTGTGCGCTATCTGTCAGGTCCACTGAAAGCTCGTCAGTAGATCACACGTGCGCTGAAGTGAACTAACCCTGGAACATAACCTGCTCTGGAGCAGGTTATCTTCAGAGAGCAAGTTATTATGGTTACTTACATACCCTGAAAGTAACCTCCGATTTTGGTTATCCGCTCGCTTATCCTCAAACATACCCGGGTATGTCGCATAACCTGCTTTTTGGAATACACCCCTGTTGTGCTTCTCCAAGCAACACAGAAGTGTTTCGTTTATGAATGAATCTGCGTTTTGAACGAATCGGGTGAATCTATGATTCAAAAGCCCATTACCTTTTACTGAATTACTGAATGAATCAGCCGTTTGCACGAATCGAATGAATGAATGACTCATAAAGACAATTACCACCACCTGCTGGCAGCTTTAGTTTTTTATTTAGAGTGTTATTGTATTATTTCATTTAAAATTAAAAATTTAAATTAAAAAAGGGGGGGGGGGGAACTTTAAAGGGATAATTCACCCAAAAAACTTAAATTATGTAATTTACTCAAACCTGAATGACTTGCTTTCTTTTGTGGAACATAAAAGAAGGCATTTTGAAGATTGCTGGTAACAAAGCTGTTTTGGTTTGTTGTACACATTTATTTATGCATGGTTTTTATACAATTATTTGTTTGTTTATGGATTTATTTATAGATTTATTATGATTTTCTTCCTTAATATATAATAATACGTAATGCTTATATTATTTTTTTCAGTGACTTTTTATTGCATAAACAGGAAAAAAAACTGAGATGTTTCTCAAATTAGCTTCTTATGTTCCATTTATTTAAGGCCGCTGTAGCCTAAATGTTTGTGTAATAAATTTTATGTTGAATCAAATTAAATATTTCTTTCTAAAGCTACTATTTTTAATGTCTACTTAATACTTTCTCATTTATCACAAAAATAGCTATAAATAATATTTTGGGGGTATTTTCACAGCCAAATGTAATTTTGCGATTTATTAGATGAATTAATCGACACGCCTTGTAATTAATTAAACATTTTAATCGACTGACAGCCCTACAATATATACCTTTTAAATATAATAAAACTTTATTTTAAAAAATAAGACTTACTGAGCTTGACACAGTCACAAGGGTCTGACAAAATTTTCCATTTTATGAATGTTTTTCTTTAAGTGTAACAATTCTAACACCTGTAACCCCTTTAGTAAAGGACGTCCGTGTCAGTCCTGCCCTGTCCTTTAAGGAGATGACGGGAAACTCGAAGCGTTACCTGCAGGCCAGTGGCGAGTGGGAGCTGGTGGTTATCTTGGGCGATGCTGACATTTTGAATTTCGGAATAGAGGAATGGGACATCATCACTTTCTGGGTAAGAAAGAGACAAAAGTAGGGCATATAATAGGCTATGTTTAGAATAGCATACTACTCTGTTTCTCTAGTATCTAGTTGTATGTGCACATATTTATACCCATATGACCTACTACATTTGACAAATTAAAACATATGTCATTATAACATTGTAACAATGTGTACTACAGAAGCTTATTTCAGCCAAAAATAAATAAGTAAAAAAATATATATTTATTTATTTTTATCAATTTTTCTCTCTCACAGTTGTGAGTTTAACTCATAATTCTGACCTTTTTTCTCGGAATTCTGAGTTTACATCTCACAATTTGGACTTTTCTCTGAATTTTGAATTTCGTAGAATTCTGAGTTTACATATCGCAATTCTGACATTTTTCTCAGAATTCAGAATTTACGTCTCGCAATTCAAATTTTTTTTCTCTCACAGTTGTGAGGTTAAAGGTGGGGTAAGTGATTTCTGGTAGCCAATGTTGACATTTGAAATCACCAAAACAATCACGCCCCTACCCCAAAAGGGTCTCACCCCTATTTTGATAGCTCCGCCCCACACATACAGACGCAACCCAGGCAATGATTAGTTCAGTGAAACAAAGCAAAACCAATGTTACACCGTGTCTACACCGGACGCGAGTGGCGCGGCATGACACTGACCACAGACACGGTGTTACTGGCCTATCAAGAAGAAACAAAGCAACCTCTGTGTCCGATCGCAGGCCTTCCGCT